GTTTGATTTCTTCATCGCAATCTCATTTTTCGTTGACCGTGCTGCCCAGATATTTAAATCATCATACCCGCTCCACAGTATTTCCATCGTCTGTCAAGATAGTATTTATTATCGACTGTCAACCTATTGCCATAAATTTGGTCTTAGTAGCGTTGATCTTAAGACCAAAACGTTTGCCAGTGGCTTCAATCCTATCTAATATATGCTGCAGATCCGTTTACCAAAACGATAAATTGATACTGTTAAAAAATTACAAAACACAAAATCCGTTAATGTATTACGTGCAACCTAAAATAAAACCAGAAGAAAAAACAGCATAAAAGAGTAAGACATACAGTTGAGTCCATGGTTCTTTACCCGTTCGTCATCATTTAAAGCATACAAAATAAGTCGGAGATTTACTCCACGCAACAGCAAGCGACAGAAAGTGGCTACGGCTCCGATCACTAATTATATTATAAAATTTGATGTTATCGAATAAATAGAATGTAAATTATTGGCAAAATAAAATACACTTACCATAAAATTTCAAGCTCCAATATAAAAAGCCACAAGTAAACAAAACAGAAACGTCACAAATTGTACTTAAATCTGAAAACAGTCTTTTTTGTACCTGTTATTTGTTCATAAAACTAACAGGCGGTAGCTGGTTTGTCTTTAGTTTCATGCGTGGAAGACAATGGTGCTATACTACGTTCCACGTTAAGAAAATAACATTGCGGAGATAGGGCCATGTATTTCTTATGGACGATAGAAACGCGGCGTTGCCACTACACACACAAGCTTAGGGTTGTATAATTTGTATTTTCGTTTCCAGAGACATGAATTAAATTAATGTTTTTTAACGTAATTGACCAAAAGTGCCCATTCGAAACAAGAGATGAAAAGTAGGGAAAATGATTTTAATTAGATAAATAGTATTTACAAAAGATAATTTCATTTTATCTTATTTTAATTATAGTAACGACAGTTTATTTGTTTTTCGGTGAGCCATGAATCATAGAAATCAGTAGAAAATAATACTTAGTTAAATCATACATTTTGCCGCCTATTAAAGTTTTAAAAGCAAATAAACGGACTTGGAATGCGTATATCTAATTACTAATTGCAACTTAAAATAATACGATTTGCGCATGTCAGCGATTTTATGTCGTTCTCTGACTACATAATGATAATAAGGCTTTTATTTAGTAGTTATTCTGACTTTACAGTTAAATGTTAATTGAAAATGAAAATTTAAAAATTAAGCAAAGGGAATATCTTGGACATCCGTGCAAAAGAGAGTGTCTGAGAGTTTTGGCAACACTGATCTCCATAAGCGTAATGTTATTTTCTTAACTTGAAACAAAGTATAGATAAAAAGTGTGTGTTTAACTCGTCAGCTATTAATGACGCACGGGTAAAGTACATCATGGACTCAACTGTACACTCATAATCTCTACACATCTGATATGATGTATATATTGGAAGAACAAGACTTTTTCTATATTTTTGTTTGCTTATAAGTAACACGGGTTTATTACGTACTCCGCCCATCCACTAAATAAACAATATTCTGCTCAACACCACATTACGGAAGCTGACGTAATAGTAAGTATACCATCTGCTGTGGTCCATGCTCCGTAGAATAACACGAAAAACACATTACGCTTCAGTATTCTGATCTTCAGATTCAAATTATATCGTGTCCACAAAAAAATTCTATTTAAAGAAAAATGGATTCCATCGCTATTTATTTTTCAGTCTATGTAAGAACTATTAATAATTCTTTGAAGTAGTTGACTATTTTCCTGAACTAAGAATAACGAATAAATAATGAAGAAAGATAAAGAAATCGTAAAAAATATTAAATCTTGATTAAAGATTTGACATCTAAAAATCATAAGAACAAGCTGAATTTTGCTTAGAATGTCAAGTTTAAGACCACACACAATATGCAAAAAAGCTTATTTTAATTTATTCCCCCTCCGATGGGACTGAGGGGAGAGGAAACAAATGTAGCTAAAGCCGGGTCCAGACTATGTAACAAAACATGTTAAATAAGAAAGTTTTGTAACTTGTTACAGAATTTTTAATAAAAAAGTTTTAAAACACAGTGTTGTATAACATTTTTCTGGTTATATAGCAAGTTTTATGTTATCCAACAGTTGTCGGTAAACATCAAAGAAAGTTATAAAACATTGTTGTAAAACCGCATTTTGGCTGATCTACACTTAAAAACATGTTATTGAAACATTTTTTTGGCATAGTACGCGAGCAGCAACCGTCGGAGTCATATCGTCCTGTTCATTCTGATTCTTGGGTGATTTTGCTAAATTTTTTTTGCTCTGTTCACGTGGGGTTATTTCGGGTAGAAAGAACTGACTGCTCATTTAATTGAGCTATTTCGGGAACAAGGAGTATTATGAAATCCTACATTCATGGATTTTAAAAAACGAAATAAAAAACACGATGCATGGACTGAAATAGCTGGAGAAGTGAAAGCAGATATAAGCGAAGTTGAAAAAAAATCGACGTATCTACATTTTATATACTGAATAAACTACCAGACATCCAGCTAAAAGTTAAGCTTATTTTGTTGTGATGTTTTTAGTTATAAAGTCTGGATGCTATGTTAAATTATAACAAGTTACAAAACAAAGTTGTAAAACAAATTTATTGTACAACTTTAACATGTTTTAGTTTGGACCCGGCTTAAGATAATTTTAAACAAAAATATTAATTCGCACTTTTTATGTAGAAGGAACCATTCTCTCAGAAAAAGGCTTAAAGCAACAGGCAATTTTGAATTACAGTAACGAACGCGAAATCAATTTTTAAAATTTGTATTAACTCGACGGTAAAAATTTGATATCTTTTGATCAGAGAGTCCTATCGACAAAAATCACATGCGATTTAAAGGTGAAGAGTGCAGCTTTCGTATGCAATTTTTGTATTTTGCAGCAAATGAAGTCAGTTTTTATAAAAGTTTTAAATAAGTAAACGAAAATTCCCTAGCGACCGGTCAGTAAAGATGATACATGTTATTGATCTCATGAGAATTATAAAAAATGACAAATTTTATTTGCGACAACCTACAATAATTTTTACATGCTAAAGCTGCAATATTTACCTTTAAAACGCATTTATTTTATTGTCGATATGACTCTCTGATCAAAATATATAGAATTTTTACCATCAAGTTGATAAATTGATTTAGTGCGCGTAATTGATATTCAAAATTTCCGGTCGCTTCAAGCGTTGTTTCTGAGAGAACAGTTCATTCTATATAAAAAGTATTAATAAACCTTTTTGTACAGAAAGGCCTCAGTTCCTTTTTTTATTTGAAACATTTTTTTCTACGGCGTACAGATTTTTGATAAATTTATTTCCCCCCTCCCTACGAGGAGGGTTTTAAGACAAAGCCCGGGGTTAGGAGTTGGAAAACTTTTTTGCATATATGGTTTGCGATCAGAAAATTGACATTCTCATCAAAATTCAGGTTGTTAGTATGATTTTTAGAGGTTCACTAGCATTTTCGTCTCTGAAGACATGAATATATTTTGCACATGTAAAGAAATTGCTGGCAAAGTACAGTTTGTTATGGTACGGCACTGATGTGCCGGTCTCCTCTACAAACATGCTGTAGGTATGAATTTTTTATTATTTTAATAATTTTCAGTAACTCACGAATGGCATTAGCTTCGTTGGTTTACATCGCTGTCCAGGGTATTCGGAGTATTCTTCTATGTAACCACATCTCAAATGTCTTTAAGGGAATGATCGCATCAGCCTTCAAAGTCCAGATAATTTTAGGTTTAAGCTGTGGTTGCAGAAGAATGTTTTCATTTTAGAAACGTTTTGTGAGCTGTTTCCATTTCAATTTGGTCTCTTTACTTGGGTCTAGTTGATCTGCCATATAGTATCCCAGATATTTAAAGTGAGTAACTGTCTCAATTTTTTATTGATCTATCCATAGGGTAGCATTATCATAAAATTGGCGAATAAATATCATGAATTTATTCTTAGAAGCATTTATTTTTAGAACCATTTCTCTTTATGTCGTCTTTGCGCAATCCAATAACTCTTGAAGGCTAACAGTATTGTCAGCGTATCTAAAATTATTAATCAGTTCACCATTTATTTTCACTTCAAAGTCTTTATCTTGGAAAGATGCAAAACCGAGTAGATATTAAATAACAGCTGGGATCGAATGCATCTCAGTCTGACGCCTCTTTGAATGTAATTTTCGCCATTTAATCTCCCATAGATTCGTAAAAAAAGCAGTTTTATTAGATACTGCTTTCTCCTTCCCATACAAGTTTTCTTTGATACGTAGGTCTCTACCATCATTGCCTTTGGTTCTTAATCTTAATATATTTAAAAGCGTTTCATGCTGTACCATAACGAAAGCCTTTTCGTAATCAATAAAACCACATAAATATCTTCACGTTGGTGTGACATTTTTGAGAAATATTTTTAAATCAAAAAGTGCCTTAACTAATAACCACAAATTTCGAAATAACAAAGTCGTTTTCAACAAACACATTTTTAATTAGAGAAATTATGTCTATTTAGTTTATTATTTATTCAGTTAACGTTTAGAAGCCCGGAAATGTTTATTTACATTATTTTTTCAAACGACAATATGAAAAAAACAAAAGAGTTTAAACTATAGGATGGTGCAAATTTATGAAGTCCGGACCTGATTTATTTGAAGTAATTATATTTCATATCAGTAATATTATTCATGGATTTTTTAAAGTGATATTTTAATTGCTTAAATTGAGTTATATATTTAAACAATAAACTACACTGTATAAAAAGTAAATATTTTCCTGATTAGCAAACAAATTATGCTTTATCTAGTTTTCTTAATGATTAATAATATTTATCCCAATACATAATCTTCATAATGTTTTAATTCGACTCTGACCTCTTCATTTTTCAGAGTTGATGATCTCTCTTCCAAATATGCCAACAATCTTTTTTTAGAAATGGAACAACGCAGAGTACAAAGACGCAAGACGACCATATGCCAGCCAAGAAAATATACCTACCAAATGAAACAAAATCCAACCCAATGTAGACAGCACCCAGTTTTGATCCGTTCAGTGAACGGAATAACGGCGTCGAATCAAACGGAAAGACAAGAGATTGACCTCTCTAAATAATCCATCTGCTTGCTATCAGCCAGCGAGCAAGCTATACACAGCCCAAGACGAAAGAACCTTCGCCTTCACTCCTTCGCCAGTTCAGTATCCCTTCATCTATGCGACGCTGTGCATCGTTGCTGGTTTACAGTCGTTGTAGTTCTTCCCACCTTTTCTGTCGCTAACTCAACGGTTTGAAACCGACGATATCCTGCCTCTGCCTTTGCCTCATCGAGTGGGGAGAAATACGGGCAGACAACGATCTGTGTAATGGCTATGGCGTTTGTACAGACTATCAGAACTGAAATCATGGCCTAGTTCCCTTTAAAAATTCAGAAAATATAGTGAATTCGCGTGGATAGTGAAACTGGTGTGAATTAGTGATAAAAATTTAATAATTCTAGAATGGCTGAAGTAGAAAACATCGATTTCCAAGCATGTTGTAGACTGTGTCTCAGCGAAATGGTGGATTCTTTAAAGTCCATTTTCGACGAAACAGTTGAAGATGAAAGTCTCTCCCAGAAGATTTTACAATCAGTGGCTATTGAGGTATGTAAATTGATAGTTTTATTAACGTTTTCGTTATTAATTTACATGCTATAATTTAAAGATGATCCACCCAACTTCCATTCCAGTTGTTGAAAGCATTAAGGCAACGCTTGCGTAAGGAATACGTGGATTTTCAACCTTATTGACATTATACACAACTGGCCAGGTCCGATGCTTGCCAGCAAACGTTCAAAATGGCTGCGTCTATTGTATGATACGGGGCCGGTCAACACATAATACATCTTTATTTATCTATTATGTTGATAACATTCTTTAATAATAATTGAACCATTTATATGTCTTGCATCTTTAATTTTCATTTTGTTTGTACAGAAGAGCATCTGCATATTTAGGAATTAGTGATCTAACCTTGAGCTTGTTTAGTCATGGAGAGTCATTGTTTTATAATAAGATCTTACTTTTTTTTACTGATTTTGATGTTGTTTTATGTGTGATTAGCTAAGTAGGCTATACTATCTAGGAACCTGCTTATTGCAGGAATGTTTAAAAAATCTTCATGGAAATTTGGGTCTTTCATATTTATCAGTTTATTGCCTACATCAATGGCGTAAATTTGTATATGTTTCCTTCATTTTGGTTTCCATGATGTAGTTTTAGTGGATATTAGGAGGCATATTTAACTCTAAAGCATATAAAATGCTCCCAACAATACTGTCTTTCTCTATTTTTATTCTTTAAGTAATATTATTATAACTCAAGGATCAGAAATGGCGTCATCAGAAATTACATTCAAGAAAAAATGTATTTATAAGTTTTTTAGTGTTATTGTGATTTAATGTCTCATAAATTGTCTATCCAGACCCAGAGATAAAATAAGGGGGCATTTTGTTTTGTAAACAAGATATTAGAACTTTCTATTATAAATTTTTTTGTGGTTGTTCATCTTGTGTTGTGTAAACATTTATATCCAATTATAGTTGGTGAATAGATATTAAACATTAAAGTCAAATTGTTTATCTATTATGTATTTATTTATTTGGAAGGGACATCTAGAATCATTTGTTATGACAGAACTATTCCATGCTGGCTTTCCATTAAATACTTATGTGATAGGATGTTTTCATTCCTTTTTGTATTAATTTTGTTCCTTCTTTCTCTCTCTCCTCCACTTAGCTGCTTGTACTTTGTCCCTAGATGTGTGTTTATCAATTCCTGTCCTCTTCTCTGTCTCCCCAACATGGCTTCTTGTACTTGTTCTCTCAGGTCTGTGTTTATCACTGGCGGATATACAGAGGAGGGGAAATTTCCCCACAAGAAGGTCTAAAATTAAAAAAAATTCTTTTTATATTTTTTTTATGTAGTTTGGATTTATCTTTTTTATGTCTTTTGGTTGGTGTTTCATTGAAAGTTCCTTCACCGCTAGGCAAATGGGTAGATCTCCACTGCTTCATTTTGTTTTTTTTTCATGTTATGGTCCTCTGGTAAATGGTAAATCTTAACATTTTCCACCCTCTAGTATTCTTATCATTTTTTTCTTAAATTATTCGCATTACATAGCCTATCTGACTTAAGTTTTTGGGCTCTTAACAGTATGACTTTTTTAATGTTATCTATTTTATCTTCTCTGCTTTTGTGATATTTTATTTTAAGTCCTAAGTATCAGTCCTTTTTCATTATTTTCCCCTTGATTCCAATGGTAGCAACTGTTCATTTTTGCCTGCAGTTCTTTATTGGTTCTTTACCATAATTAACCTATTTTATGATTAGAAGTGAAAAATTAGACAATTCTAGATACAGCTTTTGAATTCTAATTAATAAAGAATTAGAAAGACTCATCTAAAATATATAAACAATCTATCAACAATATTTAACTCTTCAAAGTATGACCTCTTCTTTTTTTTTCAATTTGATGCCCTCTACCTTTACTTGATTTTTCATTTCCTTCTTTCTTCCTCCTGTTACTGATTGTATTAATATTGTTTCTGCTTAGTATTAAGAACAATATTCTACCTAGTCCGTTTTTACTCATGACTTCCATGAGTACATTCCATGTATCATCCTTTTTTAACACGAAGATATTGTCATAGTCTGGTTGCATTTTACAACCATAATTTTAGCTTCCCTTTATTTCCTATATTTTGTTTGATACTTTTTATAGATTTTGATCTATAAAAAAGATTTTATTTTTTATTATATTTTGCTTTGCTAAGTTGTTAAGTTAACTAAACACATGGCGAAACACTTATTGTCCTCATATTAAGATAGATTTAAGGAACTTTTTTTGCAATATTATCTCTATTGTGTTAGTATTAGAGTCATTTATAAAATATGCACAATTTCATTTAAAGGTGACATTCTTTTGAAAATGGAATAAAATCCAGTTAACTGAAAAATATTTGCTATAGCTTGAGAATCACTGATCTTGAGAATATTTTGACAATTAAAATTTAAAGAAAAATTCCAGTGGTGGCTGTATACCATAGTTTTTTAAAAGTAAAAACTTGTTAAGTAAATAAAATGGTATCAAATTTATTAAAAATTTTAAAAATATCCAAAATGGATTTATGAATTTTCAGAATGTTTCAGTCGTATCAGACCAACCCCAGTGAAAAAATTCTATATAGTATCTACTTATTTGAAACTAGCCACATAACGAGGTCAGATGATCCTCAAATTATACCTATAATTAAAGTAATAAATCCTATAGTTATTATGACACACATGGAAATGGAACATACAATACCCAGCTCAGAAAATGGATATAGTCCAATGAGTTGATTTGTTCAAATGTAATAAGAATATATGGAAAAATTGTTTATAAATAACAATCTAATAACATTTATTTAATGTAATTATATTTTAAATAAATAAATAACAATACAAAGGTAACTTAAGAAAAGATTCATAGATCCCATATCCATTTGGACAACAGGTTTGTTTTGTATAATTTTGCAATGAAAATACAATAAATGTTATTATTTTAACGTTTTACCCCAAATAGAAAATTTAGTGGAATAGAACCTGAGGTATGTCATTTTATTTCTGAGAGCTCTATTTTGAAATTGAGTTGGAATTTTTGGGTGGCCCTTTAGTTGGCTACCCATACTCCTTTTGCTCTAGTTGGAATGCAAATTACTCTTTGTTTACAATATACCTGTTTAAACAATTGTCAATAATTTTATTTGCTAAAAGTTTTGGTAAAAACTTTCACTTTTCTTAATAAATAATTGGTTAATTTCGTCCCTTAATGTTGTTAATTAATGTAACAGTGATTTAAAAAGGGCTATGTTGGCTCATTAGGGCCTTAGGACCTTCTTTAAGTTTTTTTTAAAGCAGCTTTCCAAATATTTTTCAGCCATTTAATTTTAACTAAATTCTATGGAGTTATTGTAAATGTTTATAATGTTAAAAAGTGCCATTTATTATTAAATCGTTTTATGTACATACATGTACTTTTTTTAAACTTTTTTTCATAGCTCATTAGAATACATATTAATGAGGAAAATGCCCTGAATTATTAAGGACCAGCCGTAGAAATTAGCTTATCTTTCAAGAAATCTTATGAAAAATTAATTTGATCACCATAAGTTCTGGTTAATTTAAACAAATTTTAATAGACAATCAAGAAAACTATTACCAATATTTAGCTTATTTAACCAAAAAGTTAATCCCTGTAGTCTAAGATTCCACTGCAATAACACTATGTTCATAACATAGTTAATCAAACTCACATTTTTACATACATTTAAGAATAAATGATAACAGGTTGCCAGTCAAAAACTGGCTGCACATATATGTATTTAATTCAATGAATGGTACATAATTATTTTTGAACAAAAATTTTATTTCATTATTTCCATTATTTTCATTCCTGTTAAAATTGAGAGTTATCAAGTAAAATAGCTCAAAAGACAAAAGGTTGCAAGTCAAGTAACTTGCAACCTTTTGTCTCCAAAGTTAGCGAATCCATTTTATAATGCTGAATTCAGACCAACACTATAATTTATTGCCCTAGTCGTTTTCGAGAAACATTAGCCCAGTCTGGTTATGCAAAAATCATCGATTTCACGGCAAAATTTTTCGCAGATATCTGAAGCTTTTAAGACATAGGTAAGGGGTTTACTAGATGATGAATAGATGAAAAGTACTCATATTTTTACCTTGCGTTTTTTTTAAACAATTTATGGTCACATTTTGATTTTTGTCTATAAGTTTTTCCCTTATATTTTACCTAAAAAATATTTATATCATTTTTTATATCAAGAATATCTTTATTTTCCCGTTTTTTAAATTAAAATTGATAAATAATTTACGGAGGTATTTGCAAAAAAGCAGTTTTTTTGCACTAATTTATAAATTTTGCTTAATGTTTTTTTTTTATTAATAAAATAAAATATTATTAATACATTTGAACACCGAGGAATTACCGTATTTTAAATTTGTGCGAAATTTCCCCCTGATCGGTCAAAAAGTTATCTAATTTATTTATCCCCGAGGCTAAATATTTAAACTATTGAACTTGCTCTATTAATGATGCTAGACATATTTAGCAAATTTCATAGGATTCTTTAAGACTTAAACTATATCAGAAGTTAAATGCTTATTGCGTTTTCATCGAAATTATTTACAAAATAAACGTTTGAAAAAGGGTATGGTTTTTACTTATAAACAATTATTATAACTTCTATATTTTTTAAGCTACAGACTTGTATGTACAACCATTGGATAGCTGGTAAAAAAACTCACATTAAAAAAACCTTCTATGACCAATAGGAACGAAGTTAGGGACTTTTTTTCTTTCCATACTGGAAAAAAAATCGCCAATTTTCAAATTTATAGTAGGCCCGAAATAAGGCTCCCAAGTAGTTGCAAATTTTTTTACATATAAAGGAAGGCTCAATCTTTCAAACGCTTTTTGTAAAATTCAAATCAGTTCACTAGCAGAGTCTAGAAAATTTTTTAAAGTTTTAAACATTTTTTAGGCTTATAAACAAATTGAATAACTTTACGAGCTTTAAACATATCAATTCGTTCGCCTT